CGCCGCGTCAGGGGCCGCGTCAAGGCGCTGCCAGGGGCCGCGGCAGGGCCGCGTCAGGGCCGCGGAAGGGGCCGCGGCAGGGGCCGCGTCAGGGGCCGCGTCAGGGCCGCGTCAGGGCCGCGGCAGAGCCGCGTCAGGGCCGCGTCAGGGGCCGCTTCAGGGCCGCGGCAGGGGCCGTAGCAGGCCGCGTCAGGGCCGCGTCAGGGGCCGCGGCAGGGCCGCGTCAGGGCCGCAGCAGGGGCCGCGTCAGGGCGCCGCGTCAGGGGCCGCGTCAGGGCGCCGTCAGGGGCCGCGGCAGGGCCGCGTCAGGGCCGCGTCAAGGCCGCGGCAGAGCCGCGTCAGGGCCGCGTCAGGGGCCGCTTCAGGGCCGCGGCAGGGGCCGCGGCAGGCCGCATCAGGGCCGCGTCAGGGGCCGCGGCAGGGCCGCGTCAGGGCGCCGCCAGGGGCCGCGTCAGGCCGCGTCAGGGCCGCGTCAGGGCGCCACCAGGGGGCGCGTCAGGGGCCGCGATAGGGCGCCGGCAGGGGCCTCGTCAGGGCGCCGCCAGGGGCCGCATAGGGGGCGCGTGGGAGGCGGCGTAGGGGCCGCGTAGGGGCAGCGTAGGGGCCGCTAAAAAAAATTTTAGGGCAGGGCGCAATGTGCGCGGGCAGCTAAAAAAAAAATTCTTATGGTGGGCCCTTAGGAAGGAACGGTCCCATGTAGGAACCCGCTCTATACCATGTGAATCAAGAAAACAGGAATGAAATGACTAAGTGAAAGTTGGGTACAAAAGGCAAACCCTAGGCAACTGTACCCCATATGTGCTACCCCACTATAGCCTACAGTAGCTATGTCATATAACTCTGACAAGAAAATGGAGGCCCATAGGGTGAAAGCCAGGAATAGGAGATGAGGGACGAGCACAAGGGGAACGACGAGTGGTCTAGGGAGAAGCGTCAAGAGACGGGTCAAGAAGGAGAGGGGGAGACACCGGAGAACGGGGAGGAAAACAAGCCGGAGACGTGTCTAAGAGAGGGAGTGGTGGGGAGGAGGGAGGACAACTGTCAGTGGAAGGCCACAGAAGGCCAAATACGACAGTTGCGGCTGTTGCTGCTGTGGCCGCGGGTGCTGTTGGTATAGCTGTTTCGCTGAACGTCGAGGGCTCACAGCACCTCAGGGTCCACACCTCAAGTGTTACCCCCAGAACCAGCACCCCCAGGGTCCGGTTGCTGCGGCGACTGTGAGGACGAGGCCAAGGACGGCAGAGACTGTGGGGTGACGTGCAACACACCAAACGGGGCAAGAGAGGGGGGGGAGGGGGGGGGGGAGAGGGGGGCTACCAGGAGGAGTGGGATTAGAAGGAGGGCGGGAGTGAGGAATAAGGGGGCGGAGGGAACCGGGGTACCTCGGTGGGGGTGACGAGTGTAGAAACAAACAGAATCATCAAAGGTGATGTCCTGAGAGCTAAAGAACCGGTGAGACGAAGGGTGGTAGAACAGCCAGTGAGAAATGTCGAGGGGGAAACAGAGGAGGACACATGTGATAGTGCGGGCTGAGAACTTGTCTGTGCTAGGGGCACGGACATGAGCAAGGCAGCCCCATACACAAAACGCAGCTGCAATACCAGGGGACCCAGCCCAGAGGAAGGTCGGTGTAACCTGCGGGCGTGAGCGGGTGGTGAGCTGATGGCGCGCGTGGGCGGCGAGCTGCTGGCGTGTGCGGGCAGCAAGCTGTTGGCGGGAGGTGCTCGTAGGGGAGGGCGCGAGGGGCGCTACGACGGGACCAGCGGAACCTTACGGCATGGCCAGCTAAGCGCGGCGGCGGGGCCAGTGAGGGGCGCTATGGTGGTGTCTGCGACGGGCGCTATGGCAGGGTCAGTGAAGCGCGACGGTGGGGCCAGTGAGGAGAGCGACGGTGGGGCCAGTGAGGAGAGCGACGGTGGGGCCAGTGAGGGGGACTATTGCGGGGCCGAAGGGGCCTTACAATGAGGGGCCGCGAGCTAGGGGCGACGTATGGGGACAGCGGGGCCGTGAGCTAAGGGCGACTGTCAGGACCAACGTGGTCGCGAGCTAGGGGCGACCGGCGGGGCCAGCGGGCCCGCGATCTAGGGGTGACGTGCGGGCTAAGGGGCAATGGTCGTGCTAGAGAAATCGGGCGGGCTAAGGGGCGACGGGCATGCTAGGGGCGATGGGCACGCTAGGGGTTACGGGTTGGCTAGGGTAGGCGCTGCAGAAGCGATGGTCGTAAACCAACGATGATAACATACAATGGTACATAAAGAGAACCCTAATCTGTCCAACCTAACATAACAAAGAGTACACATGCAAGCTTACAAAATATATTAAATGTGCACTTTGACAATTGGGACCTTCCCTCCTCGGACCCAGTGGAGCCGCAGGCACCGCGTGAGTGGCATGACATGTTACGCACTACGCTTGCAGCCCTCGGCTTCTTCCCATCTTCTGCTGGTACTTCTCTCTTCATTCACTACAGCACTACACCTTTCTACATTATTTTCTACGTCGACTATATGGAATAGCCACTCCCGACGGAGCTACACTAGCCTCGGTGAAGGACGAGCTGCTGAGGAGACACACCTGCACTGACCTAGGTGAGCTGCGCCGCTATCTTGGCTTGGAGATCACAAGGGACAAAGCATTGTGCACCAACATTCAGACTCAGTCACACATGGTGCAACAGATCCTCGACCGCTTCCGCCTTCAGCTCTCCTCTGCTCAACCCAGTCCTCTTGCTATTTACCATAACCTGTCGGCTCCTGTGCCTGACGAGGCAGCTGACGCTAGTGGTCCGCAGAGCTGGTGGGGTGCCTCATGTACCTGATGACCTGCACTCGCCCAGAATTTGCACTCACGAGAAACGCAGATGCGTTGTGGGCAGACGATGCCAAGATTCTTAGGTCCTCTCAGGTCTACTGCTTCAGCCTAGGCGCAAGAGCTGTCTCGTGGAGGTCCACTCGTTCGTCATCGGTGGCACACTCCAGCTGTGATGCAGAGATCTATGCGAAGGCTATGGCTTCTTAGGAGCTCTGCTGGCTGACTTTCTTGCCCACTGACTTAGGTGAGCCGTCTCGCTTTGCCCCAGTCCTGTTTGCTGATAACAAGGTCATGATCCTCCTGTGTTAGGAGCCTGGACTGGAGGGCAGGGTGAAGCACATCCAGTTGCGATACTTTCTTATGTGTGAGTTTCAGCATCGCGGTCAGGGCCATGTAGTATTCTTGGCCTCGGGAGCCAACACCGCTGATATATTTACTAAGGCACTCTAGCCTAGTTGTCATTAGTGGTTCTGCACACAGCTTGGACTTGTTCTAGCAGATCGTCACCTGTTAGGATCCTAATATCTGTAATTGCTTTATCTTTGTCTGTTGATACTCATTGACTGGCCTTGTGGCCCTTAGTCTCAGAGGTTGGAGTGGTAGTGCCGCCCAGAGTTGTGATTTGTACACTTGTTGTTCTTGTTGACTGGTCTTGTGATCACTTGTCTTAGAGGTTGGAGTTGCTTCTTATCTACTTCTTATCTACTAAGCACTGCCCCTCACCTAGCTTAGGGGGCGTGTCAAAATATACATGCATGCATTCCTATGTCTACAATTTGATATGCTATGTGCGCGGTTTGTGCTAGAGAGGCCAGTGTTTGTGATATGTATTCTTGCATTGCATGCCCTCATTCTAGTCATTCTTGTTTGTTAAATGAGGTGGAATGTAAAGCACAAAAAGCAGCTTCAAGGTCGTTAAGTGAAGTTTTTTGCTCTGAATATTCAGAAGAATGCATGTATGATGCCCTGATAACATGACGTTTTTTTGCGGCACTTGCCTTTCGGGCTCAGGGTGTCTCTATGCCAAAAACATGCCTAGTTTATAGTCCTAAAGAATACCTTTAGGTTGATGTACCTGTCCGCTCAACAGAGTGTTTACCGAGTCATCACTAAACTATACTTCTACTCCACGAAACCACGAACAAACACTAGCTCCAGTCCAGTAACATAACTCTATAAAACTAAGCTCAGATATTTGAGATACTGGATTATGATCAAGTATTGGATTAGCCTATCCCGAACCTCTTTTCCAGTCAAACACGTTCGTAGTAGTCGACCCGTAGAAAGTGGCGAAAATGGTCAAGCAGCATACTACATATGTCGCCAGAGTCGTGATCTGCTTCCAAACCATGCAAACATGAATCCTGAGGGCCTCTTATATGATAACAAGTCATTTTAGCTTTTTGCTTTTGTCCGTTGAATTAACATGTATTTAGATCAGGGCCCAAAATTGGTTTAGGCCTACCCTTACGATTCAGGGTTCCAGCCCCTCCTTAACCAGACCCCTAGGGAAAAAAATTTCGTACCCTGTTTGCAGCAGGGTAAATGAACCAGGAGCCTGATTTGAGCAGGGTAGTTTTAGGCTAAGCCTGTTTGGGGTTCTGTTTTCATAGCTAAGTTATTTATACTGACATAAAAAAGTAGCACACACAAAGACAATGAAGTCTATAAGAGCATCACATTCACAACACACCTACTCAGTGCCACCCCCACTGCCTACATCTTCTACAAACTGGGTCTCTAAAGCCCTGGTGGCGTCAAACTCCTTGGTGGGTCGCCTCAGCTTCTCCCCACGAAAGATGGCGACCACCTCAAACCAGTCGACCTCGTACCGTAGCAGGGAGCAACGCATCAGGTGCTCCAGGCTTGTGTCGCCTAGGCTGCCGCGTCCCCAAGTCTTGATCAGATTCTGCTTCGAGAAGCCACGCTCGCATTCAACCGTGCTCAATGGCAGCACGGCGACTGACTGCCACATTCGCATGATGTTGGGGAAGGACACACGCCAAGCATTGTCCCGCAGCATGTTCGTGAGCGCCAGATGGAAATCCTCGTTGTTTTGTGCTGGGAGAACATTGTGGATGTAAACATCCACAGCTCCTGTTGCCTTTTTGTAGTCGAACCCTGTATTGGGGCAGGGTTGGGGTGACAGCTTGGCCGATGCTCGCAGACACGGGTAGGAATGGGGGGCATTAGTCCAACAAGCAGCAGTCAGCAATACGTGCACGGGTCACCCACGCAGGAGAATTCGTTGCAACAACACACATCAGAACATGTAAAATCGCTACAGTAGGCTTACCATGCAGCTTGTGGTTGTACAACTTGTGCAGCTGGCCGAGCCACCTCTTGAATGTTTCCACGCGCTTTGTGTCGTCGGACACGTACGATGCTGTGCGAAACAGCTTTGTACCTTCCAGTTGCTGCAGGTCGCGCATCCGCCACTCCAGCTCGCCGTCAATGGCGCGCACATACTTGATTGACAGCTCGATGCACGCCGTGACATTGCCATCCGTTTCATGTCCTGGCAGCGGGCGCTCGTGCAGCGTGAATTTAAACGAGACGGGATTCCCATCCGCGTCTACGCCCTCCGCCTTCATCTCGCGCTTATCCTTCGCCTGGTGCCTCTGAATGAAATCTGGCAGCTGCATTTTGTCCCCGCTGCCGAAATGGTGGGCAGGGTCGCGGAGGGAATACCGCGTCTTCAGACGCATCCTTGTCTGCTGCACGATGTGCGCAACAAGGGTAACGTCCACCTTCACAAAGGCATTACAATGAGTCAGGTAGTGCACGTGTTTGCTTGCGACAACATAAACGTCAGCACGAAAGGCCCTTACCTGGCGCTGCTGGAAGCGCTGGTTGAGGTAGTTAAGTTCCCAAAGCACATCCGCAAGAAAGCAGATGAGCCAGTGGAACTTGAACGAGGTAACCACCTCGTACAGTTCCGCCTTGTAATCCTTCAGCACCACTATGGCCGCAGGGAGCACGTCGAGCAGGCGCTGTATCGCTTCACCACGGGCGAGCCATCGGGTATCGCTAATCTTCTGCGCCTCCAGATTCGTCTGGCAGTATATCCGCTGCATCTCGTGAAACTTCTGGTAGTCCTCGCTGCTGCGGCCGATGTGGTCAGCGAAGGCGCGCACGACATCGTCAATCATTTGCAGCTCAGGTACCTCTTCAGCAGAACCACTAGCAGCGAGTGCCTCCCTGTACAGTAGGGCACATCGACAGAGAGTAAGTCAATAACAATTCCTGTAAAAACGGCAGCACAAAGCACACAACGGAGATGCATACCGATGAGCGATACAATGTGTTGAGGCCAGATGCGGAATGCGCATTCGCAGCCGTGTCACGACTCCTCTGTTCTTGCCGACCATCACGCTGGCACCATCAGAGGCGACGCTGGATATCTTCTGGAGGTTGACCCCGATACCTGTGAGATACTGCACGACAGTGGATGTGAGTGAGGCACCGTCTGCACGGTCAACAGTAATGAGTGTCAAAAACTCAGTAACCACCGTGGTGCGTTGGAAAAACGTGGCCTATAAAATGAGGTGCTTCCCATGCACCCGGTCCGTGCTCTCGTCAAGTGAAATCCCTATCCACGGGGATTCCAGCAGGTGCAGACGTTGTGTCTCTTGGAGGTATGTTGAGAGTGCGCGCAGGTTTTCTTTGAATCCGTAACTGCCAGGAGAAAAAAAAGGTGGTCAAATGAAAGAGTGCATGATAATCAATAAACCAGTTTCACCAACACATGCCACCACTTACTCGGTGTAGTACGCGCCGTAGCCGCCAAAGGGAGGGAGGTCTGGTAACCCCTCCTTCGACAGAAACCAGCACAGCGGGACGAACATCGCGATGGGTGCGTCCGCTTTGCAGACGAAGAGCGCGATGTGGAGGAGACGGGTGATGTGTCGGGTAGAAGCATCCGTGGTCTGCCACTGAGTGAGTGTGGCCTGCTTGGCCTTCTCCGCCTCCGCTTTCTCTTGATTCTCCACCGACTGCTTGTGTGCACGGGTCGAGGAGTGTGTGTGGATGCTGCCTATCTGGAGATCCCGAGCACCCTCACCCTTCGCCCCATACGCGGTGTGCGATAGTGGATCTCCGTGCTTCACACAAATGGCACATTTCAAAGAAGGACGACCGTTAGACATGCGTAGCAAGCGTAACCATTTGAAACTACCTGCCCACTGAGCCTCAAATGTCTTCTTCACCGATTCGTACTCAACATCCGCGAGAGCGGTGGGTGGCTTCGGATCGGCCGAAGGAGCTGGGCGTTTGTGTGAAGTCGCGTTTCGGGGAGGAGGGGCGCCCCAGAGCGTCTGCTGCGTGTACGTCGCTCCCACACGCGGTCGCTTGACGGGCGCGGTGCTGACTGTCGTAGGCGAAGAAGTGGGCGGCTTTGACGAGCCCTCGCCACCTCCGGGACTCTATGGAAGGGTGTGGCTCCCACGCCGTGGGAGAGTCTGGCGGCTCGAACGGATAAACCGTTCCTACCACACATTCTGGTGACGGTTCACGAGGCGGCTGTGCGATGGGCACGGCGTAGTTCTCGCTAAGGCGTGGTAAAACGCCCAGCACGGAGAGGCCGTTTCTCGCGCTATCAGGTGGATCGGGCTCTCCAGTAGGCATTGTGGAGTTGAAAGCCCAAAATGGGTGAGAATGAGGGACAAGCGAGAGACCCCCTCGTAGAGAATGAGCCTTTGCAAGCCTCGAAAGGGCCGTTTCTTCCACGGGGCGGGAAGTGCATGGCCAGCAGAGCAGGACAGGGCCTGCAATTTGTTGTCAAGGACAGCGTGAAGCTGTCCTTGACACCCAACTATGCTGTGATGGCGGTGGGCGTGGCATCATGTGGCTAGATTCAAGAATGCGTTGGCAGTCGTGCAGGAGAAACAACCAATGAGGCAACATGGCTTGTCGCCGACAACGAAGCAAGTTTTATGCGCGTGGTCACAAGCGACAACGCTTGTTTGTGGGGGTGTGGTACATTTTGTCACGACACGGAGTGTGGTCCGATTCGCGTTAAAAAAGTTTCGGTAAAAGGGTAGTCTACACCCTACCCTGATTCCGTCAGGCTAACCATAAATCCTATCAGTGTTAAAAAAAACATGCTCTTTTTAGAGAAGGGTAACTATCTTGAAATCCTGATTTCGGCAGGGTAATCCTGAAAAAGTGGCCGGCCCCCAGGGTAATCAGGGCGTTTTACCCTGATATTTTGGGCCCTGATTTAGATATTGAAACTGATACAGTTTACCTGCATAATATATAATGTATTACATTTCCGAAATGAACCCTACACCTGTTACGAGTGCAATTGAGTGATCGAGCGAGAATTGCACTATCGAAGCAAGAGTACAACGAGCGAAGGCATGAGCGAAGAATATATAGCGAAACTACAGCGGTAACGGTAATGCGTGGAAATTGGGGTGCGCGACGGGCCTGGCGCCGAGGTTGGGAAGTGTCGAGGCGGAGGTCCGGAGCGCGGGTTACCAACCGAACTGTGAGGTTGGGTCGCGTCGTGAACAGTGGCGGGAATAGTGTCGAAGCGAGTGTCGCGAGTGGTAACGGATTACTGTTGGGTGCTGTTGGCGGGAACAGTGGTGTACGCGCTGAGCAGGGACGCGAAGTAAGGAAAAGGAATTTTCCTTACAACACCCCACCTCATCCCCAGCGCCTTCCGCGGTGAAACGCGTTCGCAGCCCAGCAGCAAGGACATGTGGAAACTAGCGAAAACGGTCAGACAGCAGGTTACATCTGTCGCAAGTGTCGTGACCTACTTTCTTAGGCGCAAAAAACAGAATTCGTTCATGTTCAGGTTTTCGCTGCTCCACTCTCAACTTCCTCGTCACCCCCTCTCATCCGCTTGTGCAGCCCTCCGTTTCTCCCGTTGCATGATTCCATCTCGTTCCTTCATCGCGTTCCACCCATCGACCTCCGCGCATCCCGCTCTGCCCATCGACCTCCGTCCATCGCGCTAATGCATTTGCGCACCCATCGGGCATGGCTCGAGCGAATGCACGCCGATGGGCCTCGCCTCCGACGACGGTCACTGCTGCGCCACCTCGTCGCCCCCCGCCCTTCCGCCACAAATTCCTGATGCATTATTGCGGATATACCGCCACGAGTTGTGTTGTGCCCTTCACGACTCGCTCTCGCTACTCGCTCTCAGCAAATAAATCGCCCATGTGCGTCTTAGCACTCACAGGTGCACTCTTCTCCTTCACTTTCACCGCCTCTCTCACCTTACCGCGTCTCGCTCCTCCTGTCGGTCGCACCTAGCTCATTCCTCTCAATCGCTCGTAATCCAGCACCAGGTATCACCGCCGGCACTACAACACTTAGTCACGAAGGTTCGACTCTTCGGCGCGCGGCTGGAAAGAGGCTGAAGCCCGTTCACCGTGGGCCTTCTTGTCGCCATGGCTCGCCGCGGAGCCCGTCTGTCGTTGGCCTCGTCGCACTCGTCGCCGGGCTCGCTGCGATCAGCCTCCTCGCGACCCACGCCAGCGCAGGTGAGCGCCGTCGTGCTCCCACTATCGCCACTCCCAGTGACTCGCGTTCACTCTTGCTCGCTCACCCGCTTGATTTTGACCACTCTTTTTGGTTGCACTCGTTCTTACAATGCTCTTGCTCTTGTTTGTGGGTGGTGTCGGAAAGTACGTGCGTGAGTGTTGGGGTGCGCGTGAGCGCAGCGCAGGGGTGTGGGTGAGTGCAATTTCTTACCTTACCAACCCGCCTGCCCTGCTTCATCTCGGAACCATCTCGAATCCCCTGCAGACGCGTGTGCCACCGTGGATTGCGGGTCAGTCGCCTTCTGCTCTGCGGCCGATGATGGCAGCACCGAGTGCCTGTGCGACGGGGGTTATGTCTTTAACGTAACAGACAAGACGTGCAATGGTGAGTGGTGGGAGAGTGGCAGTGATGCAGTATCGGCTGCATGGCTGAATGTCTGAGTGAGCTGCCCGTCGCCTGCCCAGAGTTTACAGTCACCTGCCATTCAGTATCTCTTGCTCCTTGACTTCGCCCCTCATTACTACTTCCACCCTCTCCCTCCCCCCCCATGCCCGTGGCAGATCCGTGCGCGGATGTGGCAGTGCAGTGTCCAGCGAGGGCGGAGTGCGTGGCGAGGAGGGGCAAGGCGGAGTGCGAGTGCGAGATGGGGTACATCCTGCAGAACAACACCTGCACTGGTCAGACTCAACACCAGTAACCCCTGAGAGGCCCCCCTGAGAGGCACCCCTGAGAGGCCCCCCTGAGAGGCCCCCCTGAGAGGCACCCCTGAGAGGCCCCCCTGAGAGGCCCCCCTGAGAGGCCCCCCTGAGAGGCCCTGAAACATCACGCGCCTCATCCATGTTCTCTTCCGCCCCTCATTTCCCCCCCACCCCACCCCACACCCTCTTGCCTTTGCATTCCGCTCTCTCCCCCCTCTGCTGCACCAACTCGATGGCACTGAATCACCGCAACAACACCGTGTCGCGGCCACGGCGCAGACGGGTTGGTGCAGACGCAGGTGGAGGTGGAGGGGCTCAGCTACCTCGCGCTCGTCACCTTCGAGAGCCCCGTGCCCATGGCGCACGCCACTGGCGCCATGGCGTGCAGCGACGTGGGTGACCTGGGCGGGGGCAGCAGCACCAAGATCAGCGTGGAGTGGAAGTCGTTTGGCGTGGACACCGTGGGCACCGGCATGTGCAAGAGCCTCTCGTTTCACGCCGACCCCGGCTGTGCGGACAAGGCGGGATTGACCATCGCGCGCCCTGCCATGGTCCGCGATGCCTTCCCCGTCACAAAACGGTGAGCGAGGGCACTGTGGTTTCGTCTGCTGTGCTGCTTGCATTTCAAAGGGAGCACGCCAGTCAGCAAAGTCCTCTTGTTCAACGGCGTCCTCTGTGCTGTGCCCTCCCCTTTGCGCCCCACTCGCAGGACTGTGAGAGCCACCCCGCCACAGTCAATCAGCTGTGAAATCGGTAAGTGCGAGCGCAGAAACTTGTCCCGGGCACATGCGCACAGCCCTTGGAGTGTCTTCACCGTCACTCTGAATGCATCACGTGCACATAGCCAAGGAGCTTCAAGCACCTTCACCTCTCTTCTGGTTAAGCAAGGTGGAGACACAGGCACTGCTCTGTGTTCGCTGCCAACCCATGCCATGCATGCCTTACTCACCCCATTCATCCCGTCCCCCTACGTGCCTGGCTGGTGCGTCCCTCGGCGCCACCAACAACAGCCACGTGTCACAAGGAATGCGGCAGTGCACAGTGCGTGGTGAGGGACGGCGTGTCTCAATGCAAGTGCCCCTGGAGCCAAGTGTTCGACGACGCGCAGAAGCGCTGCACCAGCAAGTCGCCCGGCACCACCCCTGGTACGTGCCTCTGTCTGCTATTGCATGTACCCATCCACAAATAGCTGCCCCATCAGCCGTCCTCGTGTGCAGGCAGAAAGATAATCTCCCTTGGGCGGCCAGGCCGATCGTCCTTTGAAAGAAAAATGACCCCACTCCTTCCCTCCCCCACCCACGGCAGACCCGAACACTAGCGGAGGCGCGGACCCGTGTGCGGCAGTGCAGTGTGCGAGGCACTCGCAGTGCGTGGGGAGGAACGGGCAGCCCACGTGCACGTGTGACGCCGGCTACACCACGGCCAACAACGGCCTCTGCTCTGGTGAGCTCTACAATCTTATTTATTTTAATTGTTTGCGCACGAGCTCTAGCGGCAGCCCCACACCTAGAGGCACCACATGAAATTACAGTGCTTCATGTCAACCGATTGAGTGTGTGTGCTATTGTGTGGCGTCCTCTTGGCCCTCACACGGGCGCTCCTTCCTCCTCCCCGTCTCCTGACCCACTCAGCCTCATGCTCTTTCCTCTCTCCTCCACACACCACCTCGCACCACACCAGCTATCTGCAAGCCGGACTGCCCCACCAATGGCCAGTGCGTGGTGGTGGGAGGGAAGCCCGTGTGTCGCTGCAAGGCGGGCTTCCGACAGGGCAAGAGCAAGTGCACACGTAAGGGCAAAGGGGCGAGGATGAGCGAGCCCCCGTTGTATCGTGCTGCTTTTCCAACCTCTCCACTGCTCATTCTCTTTCCAACCTCTCCACTGCTCATTCTCTTTCCAACCTCTCCACTGCTCATTCTCTTTCCAACCTCTCCACTGCTCATTCTCTTTCCAACCTCTCCACTGCTCATTCTCTTTCCAACCTCTCCACTGCTCATTCTCTTTCCAACCTCTCCACTGCTCATTCTCTTTCCAACCTCTCCACTGCTCATTCTCTTTCCAACCTCTCCACTGCTCATTCTCTTTCCAACCTCTCCACTGCTCATTCTCTTTCCAACCTCTCCACTGCTCATTCTCTTTCCAACCTCTCCACTGCTCATTCTCTTTCCAACCTCTCCACTGCTCATTCTCTTTCCAACCTCTCCACTGCTCATTCTCTTTCCAACCTCTCCACTGCTCATTCTCTTTCCAACCTCTCCACTGCTCATTCTCTTTCCAACCTCTCCACTGCTCATTCTCTTTCCAACTTCTCCACTGCTCATTCTCTTTCCAACCTCTCCACTGCTCATTCTCTTTCCAACCTCTCCACTGCTCGTTCTCTTTCCAACCTCTCCACTGCTCATTCTCTTTCCAACCTCTCCACTGCTCATTCTCTTTCCAACCTCTCCACTGCTCATTCTCTTTCCAACCTCTCCACTGCTCATTCTCTTTCCAACCTCTCCACTGCTCATTCTCTTTCCAACTTCTCCACTGCTCATTCTCTTTCCAACCTCTCCACTGCTCATTCTCTTTCCAACCTCTCCACTGCTCGTTCTCTTTCCAACCTCTCCACTGCTCATTCTCTTTCCAACCTCTCCACTGCTCATTCTCTTTCCAACCTCTCCACTGCTCATTCTCTTTCCAACCTCTCCACTGCTCATTCTCTTTCCAACCTCTCCACTGCTCATTCTCTTTCCAACCTCTCCACTGCTCATTCTCTTTCCAACCTCTCCACTGCTCATTCTCTTTCCAACCTCTCCACTGCTCATTCTCTTTCCAACCTCTCCACTGCTCATTCTCTTTCCAACTTCTCCACTGCTCATTCTCTTTCCAACCTCTCCACTGCTCATTCTCTTTCCAACCTCTCCACTGCTCGTTCTCTTTCCAACCTCTCCACTGCTCATTCTCTTTCCAACCTCTCCACTGCTCATTCTCTTTCCAACCTCTCCACTGCTCATTCTCTTTCCAACCTCTCCACTGCTCATTCTCTTTCCAACCTCTCCACTGCTCATTCTCTTTCCAACCTCTCCACTGCTCATTCTCTTTCCAACCTCTCCACTGCTCATTCTCTTTCCAACCTCTCCACTGCTCATTCTCTTTCCAACCTCTCCACTGCTCATTCTCTTTCCAACCTCTCCACTGCTCATTCTCTTTCCAACCTCTCCACTGCTCATTCTCTTTCCAACCTCTCCACTGCTCATTCTCTTTCCAACCTCTCCACTGCTCATTCTCTTTCCAACCTCTCCACTGCTCATTCTCTTTCCAACCTCTCCACTGCTCATTCTCTTTCCAACCTCTCCACTGCTCATTCTCTTTCCAACCTCTCCACTGCTCATTCTCTTTCCAACCTCTCCACTGCTCATTCTCTTTCCAACCTCTCCACTGCTCATTCTCTTTCCAACCTCTCCACTGCTCATTCTCTTTCCAACCTCTCCACTGCTCATTCTCTTTCCAACCTCTCCACTGCTCATTCTCTTTCCAACCTCTCCAGTGCTCATTCTCTTTCCAACCTCTCCACTGCTCATTCTCTTTCCAACCTCTCCAGTGCTCATTCTCTTTCCAACCTCTCCACTGCTCATTCTCTTTCCAACCTCTCCACTGCTCATTCTCTTTCCAACCTCTCCACTGCTCATTCTCTTTCCAACCTCTCCACTGCTCATTCTCTTTCCAACCTCTCCACTGCTCATTCTCTTTCCAACCTCTCCACTGCTCATTCTCTTTCCAACCTCTCCACTGCTCATTCTCTTTCCAACCTCTCCACTGCTCATTCTCTTTCCAACCTCTCCACTGCTCATTCTCTTTCCAACCTCTCTACTGCTCATTCTCTTTCCAACCTCTCCACTGCTCATTCTCTTTCCAACCTCTCCAGTGCTCATTCTCTTTCCAACCTCTCCACTGCTCATTCTCTTTCCAACCTCTCCACTGCTCATTCTCTTTCCAACCTCTCCACTGCTCATTCTCTTTCCAACCTCTCCACTGCTCAGTCTCTTTCCAACCTCTCCACTGCTCATTCTCTTTCCCGACTTGCTTGCCATCATGCCTTGTTCCATCTCGTTGCCTCTCACCCTCCAACCTTCCCATCTCTCGCACCCGATCCACCCACCTGACAGCTGTGTGCAAGCCTACCTGCGGTGCCAATGCCCAATGCCTGGCGGTGAAGGGCAAGCCAGCGTGTCAGTGCAGCACGGGGTTCAAGATGGTCAACAACAAGTGCATGCGTGAGTGCACGGACAAACGTGCTATCCTCGTGGTCGTGTCACTTCCACCATTTCCACCAGCCACCTGCAGAACAACGCATGTGTCGATGAAGCTTTTGTCATCTGTGCTTGCTGCGCTATAGTGTATTCCCTCGGCTCTTCCCCGCTCATCCTCCATTCTTCCCATATCTCGCACCCACCCCACCGATTTGACAGCCGTGTGCAAGTCTGCCTGCGGTGCCAATGCCCAGTGCATGGCGGTGAAAGGGAAGCCGGCGTGCCAGTGCAGCACGGGGTTCAAGTCAGTCAACAACAAGTGCATGCGTAAGAGAGGGAGGGACTTTTGCTTTTCATTTTCTCGTTCTCTTCCAAGCCTGTGAAGCTCCAGTGAACCCCATGCTCTTCCCTCTCTTCCAAAACCTTACCACCCACTTGCAACCATTTAACAATCTTTGTGCCTTGAAACATATGCTGTTTATGCTGCCTGTGCTCGATTCCCTTCATCTCTTCCTCACTTTCATTCTTTCCCTCTCTCTCATCCACCTCACCCGCTTGACAGCCGTGTGCACGCCTACCTGCACTGCCAACTCCCAGTGCATGGCGGTGAAAGGGAAGCCGGCATGCCAGTGCAACACAGGGTTCAAGCTGGTCAACAACAAGTGCACACGTAAGAGGAGGGAGACAAGTATGCTCTCGGTATTGTTCTCTCCATGCGTGCACACCTCCACTTAACCTCATGCATGCGCTTCCCCCCTCTCTCACAACCTCTACCATCACAGCCGCCGTGCATCCTGTATTCTCGTTGACCAACTCCTGCACCTGCCTTGTGTTTCCTCGTTTATCCACAGTCTTCCATCTCCATGTGGTCATGCCTGGAGGGCATTCCATTCACTCTCATACTGCTCTTCTCTCCCCACCACCCATCCACCCACTCAGCCAAACGAGCTGGATCTTCTTGAACGCGATTCAAGGCTTCAATATGCGCTCTCAAGGGGCCGTGCCGTGTTACGCAATAGCAGACAAGAGGTGCAAGCGACTGCATGTGGTGTGGTTGTTCAGAAGGCAGGAATGAAACTTAGACTCGGTGTGGAAGACCAAGTGTAGGGGGGAGGGTGGGGGGGGAGGGGGGGGGGTTAGAGTTTCTGTGTTGTGCAATGATTATTGTCTCGTTTACCATAGGCTTGAATTCTTCTTTGCATGTTACAGTATGTTTCTCTGTTTCTAATTATTCGCTCCACGTCTCCCTTTGGAACAAACAATGTAGCGATGGTGTGAAAAGGCAAGACATAATGACTAGCCTGATGAGACCTGATAGACCTCTCATTACGGTGGCCTTGTATTGTAATGTGTGCACTGCACGCATAGTTGGAGGCGCGGAGACTAGTGACACTCGGGTCGGCCACAAGCAGTTAGGCAGGCGTGCACAGTGTGCAACGGTTGAAGTGGTGGAAACACTGGTGGTAACTGAAGCTGGTTTCTTTGACATTTTTTGTAACCCCTAAAGCTTTACAACCAGTCAAAAACTTATTTCACCTAAAACAGCAGTTGCTGCCACGTACATCATGGGCCATGGCACCTATAACGTGCTTCACTAAGCTGTGCACGGCATGCAAGCGCAATGCTACGGGCCATGAAGGCGATTGAAGAGGAGAACAAGCTGCTCGAATGACAGCTCCTCGGGACGGGCCTGCAAGCAAGGCGCGTTCAAGTAAGCTATGCGTGCATGTGTAATGGTATGGAACGTGGGACTAACAGGGCTGATTGGATCGAGTGTCAACTAGGGTGGAAGGTAGCGAAATGCATTACTGCTCTGCAGCGAGAGTGCAATGGGCTGTGCCAGGCAGCGCAAGAAGGGGCGGAACATGGGGCTTGGAAGGAGATGCACTGTGGCGCGTGCTTCAGAGGGGCCAACAGTGATTGCGATCACTCAGCAACCACAGCTTACCTGCTGCATCCCCGTCAGCACACCACCCACTGCACCTCACCGTGTGCACTGCACCTCCCCCCGTGCGCCCCTCTCACGACTCACAGTGGCGGGCAGCGAGAGCGCCTCGAGAGCAGCGGCCACCTGCTGCGACGAGTACGAGGGCTGCAGCGACGCCCGCAGCATCTTGCGCTTCGCCTGGAACGCCCTGTTCACCTGCCCTCGTGCCGTGGTGGTGTGCGGTGCGGTGTGGTGCGGGTGTGTAGGGTGTGGCGCAGTGCGAGAACCAACGACAGAGAGAGTAAGGGAGCAGGATGTGGAGCAGCTTGAGACAAGTGGGAAGCAGGACGTGAGTGTGAGGGCCGGGATGGGGGCAGATGACAGGTGACAGATCAGATGCCAATGAGTGCAGCACCTCCGTGGCAGCAAGAGCAGGGTGATGAGCATGGGTGCAAGAGCAGGGTGATGAGCATGGGTGCAAGAGCAGGGTGATGAGCATGGGTGCAAGAGCAGGGTGATGAGCATGGGTGCAAGAGCAGGGTGATGAGCATGGGTGCAAGAGCAGGGTGATGAGCATGGGTGCAAGAGCAGGGTGATGAGCATGGGTGCAAGAGCAGGGTGATGAGCATGGGTGCAAGAGCAGGGTGATGAGCATGGGTGCAAGAGCAGGGTGATGAGCATGGGTGCAAGATCAGGGTGATGAGCATGGGTGCAAGATCAGGGTGATGAGCATGGGTGCAAGAGCAGGGTGATGAGCATGGGTGCAAGATCAGGGTGATGAGCATGGGTGCAAGAGCAGGGTGATGAGCATGGGTGCAAGAGCAGGGTGATGAGCATGGGTGCAAGAGCAGGGTGATGAGCATGGGTGCAAGATCAGGGTGATGAGCATGGGTGCAAGAGCAGGGTGATGAGCATGGGTGCAAGAGCAGGGTGATGAGCATGGGTGCAAGAGCAGGGTGATGAGCATGGGTGCAAGAGCAGGGTGATGAGCATGGGTGCAAGAGCAGGGTGATGAGCATGGGTGATGAGCAGGGTGATGAGCATGTTTGTTTGCGAAAGCAAACAAACACACGAACATTCCACACACACCTACATGCATTCGCACACGCATACTCGTACAAACAGGCGGCAGGATGTCGTGCAATGTGAATTTGCACCCAACAAGTGCGTTACTTACCATATGGTTGGTACTAGGAGTAAGTGTGATACATACTCGTGTTGTTGGTACTAAGAGTAAAGGGCGTTACTTACTCGTGTTGTTGATACTAGGAATCAATGCGTTATCTACCCGTGCGGTTGGGACTAAGAATAAGTGGGTTACTTACCCGTATGGTTAATACAAAGAATGAGTGCGTTACTTATCTATGTGGTTGGTATCAAGAGTAAGTGCGTTTCTTACCCGTCTGGTTGGTACTAAGAGTATGTATGTTACTTACCCGTATGGTTGGTACTAGGAGTAAGTGCGTTACTTACCCATGTGGTTGATACTAAGTGTAAATGCGTTACTTACTCGTATGGTTGATACTAGGAGTAAGTGCAAAATTTACCCGTCTGGTTGGTACTAAAAGTATGTGTGTTACTTACCTGTATGGTTGATCCTAAGAGTAAGTGCGTTACTTACCCATGTGGTTGATACTAAGAGTAGGTGCGTTACTTACCCGTGTGGTTGGTATCAAGAGTAGGTGCGTTTCTTACCCGTCTGGTTGGTACTAGGAGCATGTGTGCTACTTACCCGTATCGTTGATACTAAGAGTATGTGCGTTTCTTACCCGTGTGGTTGGTTCAAAGAGTAAGTGCAAAACTTACCCGTATGGTTGGTACTAAGAGTATGTGTATTACGTACCCGTATGGTTGGTACTAAGAGTATGTGTGTTACTTACCTATATGCTTGGTACTAGGAATAGGTATGTCAGCTCATGCAGATCAGCTCCAAGGGGTAGGGCTGGAGGAACAGGGGAAGCGGAAGGAGGGCGGACGTCGTCAGCGTCCGCACCAGTAAGCTCCCCGACCTCGGCGAGCAATGAGAGTGTCGCCGTCGAGGTGTCCGTCGGCGGGTTGACCTTCGTCCGCCCCGCCGCCGGCCCGTGCTCCGACTTCCACACCTCCAGCGATATAGTCTCGTAGAACACCATGTTCGACGTGGTGACCAACCTGTTGTCGGTGAGGTCGAGGAGCTCCCAGCCGTTGCTCTCCTTCGACATACCGAGTTGAAGGCCCCACCTGGCCTTCGGCTTCAGCTTCCCACCGCGCTGCTGCTCGGGGACCAGGAACTGCGCCATGCAGCCCCACACACGGGCCATCCTTGGCAGCCACCCGGATCTGCCGCCGCAGGTCGATGTGCACGACAGCCAGGGCGTCGTCGGCGTCGGAGCCCTTGTCGGGGAAGGTGTGCCGCGCCAGCTTCCCACCGACGCACGAGACACACGGAGAGTCGGTGCGGGCCGGCAGCTTTATGTACAGGCCGGTGGCGACCTCCTGCTTCGCCAAGCTCGTGATGGTGTCGACGCCGACATGCGCAAGCCTCGCGTGCCACCTGGCCGGCGTTGACTTTGTCGCCGAGATTATCGCCCACAGAGCCACCACCTCCGTCATGGTCGACGTCGACTTCACCGAGCAGGGACGAAGGTCGGTGCAGAGGACCCGGCCGGTGTACGTCGCCCGACTAAGAACATCCCCCGTCGCCGAGATAAGGAGCATCCCATCACCGTCGTCCCGCAGCTTCACGCCGCTCTTTTCCAGCTGGCTGGCTGACAGCAGGTTCGCCTGCACGCCCGGGACGTAGAGCACGTCGGGGATGAGCACCTGCTTCCCGGCTGCTCCTTGTAGGGCGACAGTGCCACGGCCCTGGACGTCCTTCAGCGCCCCATTGAAGCCGCGCACGTGCTTGACGTCTCCGCTCGGCTCCAGGTCGAGGAAGGCTGCCTTCGTCCCCATCAGGTGGTGCGAGCCGCCGCTGTCAATCAGAACCACCGCCGGGATCGCCTGC